GCTGTAATTCTTCAAATAAAAAAAAAAAAAAGTCTTCCTAAAAGCCAGACAAGGAACAAGGGCAATGACTCTGGTGTAAAAGTCCTTAGCCATGCTCTTGGGCTCCACATTGCAAGAGACCAGTCCAGGGAGTCACAATGGTCCCTTCTCATATTATAAGGATTAAAATGCTCTGTTGCACCGAGCAAACTTATTTTCACAACCTACTGCCAAATCACAGGGTCACAGAATCATTCAGGTTGGAAGGAGCCTCAGGAAGTCATTTTGTCGAACTCTCTGCTCAAAGCAGGGTCAGCCTTGAGATCAGATCAGATTGCTCAGGGGTTTACCTACTCACAGCTTGAAAGCCTCCAGGGATAAAGGCTGCACGGCCTCGCTGGGAAACCAATGCCTGACTGGTCTCATCGTGGCAAAGTTTTTCTTTATTGCCACTCTGAACCTTTTCTGCTTCAGTGTCCACTGTCTCTTGACCTCAAACAATGCACCACCATGAAGAGCCTGTAGCCAGCTTCTCAATAAGCTCCATAGGTATGGGAAGGCTGCTATTAGGCCTCCTCAAAACCTTCTCTGCTCAACCTTGAACAAGCCAAGTTTCCTCAGCTTCTACTCATAGAGAAAGCACTTCAGCCCCTGACCTTTGCTGAACTTGTTCCAGCTGATCAATGGCTTCTACTGGGTGGCCCAAAACTGGACGCAGTATTCAGGATGTGATCTGTAAAGTGTTGAACAGAAGAGGATAATCACTTCCCTCCATCTACTAGACCTGCTGCTGTTCATACAGCCCAGGATGCTCTCAGCTTTCTTTGCCACCCAGGCACAAAGCTGGCTCACAGGCACCATGCTGCCTGCCAGGGTGCTCAGCTCCTGTTCAGCAGTTACTCCCCAGACAGGCAGGCCCCAGCCTGCGCTGTGGCAAGGGGTTGCTCCTTCCTCAGTGCAGCACTTTGTGCATTTCTCCTTGTTGAATTTCATGAGGTTCCTGTTGGCTCGTTCCTCCAGTCAGTCTAGGTCCCTCTGGATCGCAGCCCTGCTGTCAAGCATATTGACTATGTCCCTCCAGTTTGGGGTGATCTGTATTGAGGAGCATGTACTCCACCTCCTCCGCCAGGACATTGACAAAGCTGTTAAACAGGACAAAATCCTGCAGAGCCCCACACGATACCAGCCTCCAGGTAGAGTATGACCCATTAACCATAACCCGCTGACCTTGACCATCCAAACAGTTTTTTTAACCCAACTTGTCGTCCAGTTATCCACACTGCAACATCCTAACTTGGATACAAGAATATTGGGAGAGACAGGGTTGAACACCTTGCTGAAACGGAGGTAAATAACACCTACTGCCCTCCCCTCATCGACAAATCCACTCATTTTGTAGTCTGTCTCTGCTCCCACCTCCTGCTGAGCTCATTTTTACACTGAAACTCTATCATGACCTCCCTGTTTAAGCATACCAGCCTCCCAATACAGCTATTAATTTTTCTGAGTACTGGAATGAACCGTCCTTGCACTAGGAAGCGGTTGTCCTTAAGGACCTCACAGCTTTCCTGAGCTTGTCCCTCAGAGCTGCCTCCCACAGGATCCCACCAACTAGCTCTCTTCGTAAGCTGAAGTTTGCTCTCCTAGAGTTCAGCTAAATCCTGGTTGCATCTCCAACAAGAACCTAATTCTTCAAATACTCATTCCTGTACATCTCAACAATGCTTCCTTATATGTTTCCGATTGAGCCGAGAGACTCTGGGCCACTGAAACTCTGCCAAAAGACATGGACACGAACACAACAGAGTACACAATTAAAAGGCATCATCGCACACAAAAGAAAAAGGCTAAGAAATATATTTTTCTCCACTGGAAACATGCCAGGTCTAACCCAATTTCTGAGGGGGCATCAGCAGTGCTCGACTTTATTACACACCTTCATAGCACTTTATGACATGGGTCCTTTACCAATTTATTTTCATGAGGACAGCATAGTCACAATAACAAATAATACAGTTAAAAATATTTTAAAAAAAACAAGAAAGAGAAAAATCCTCTGTATCCTCCATGTAATCTGTTTCTGCAAAGGGAAAAAAAATGGCTGTCTGAGATGCAGAGACTCTTGATAATTTAAGCATTTGTTCTTTTTTTTCCATAACAGACTACTATCTTTTCAGATATCCACTAAGCTAAAATGAATTAAACCATTCCCTTTGTCTGTTATGACTAAAGCTTTAGGTATAACACACACTCAGGGGAAAAAAAAAAAAAAAAAAGTACTCCTCTGACCAAATTACATTTCATCAATATTGCTTTAGGAATTACAGACATACTTTAAAGATTTTACACTTGTTAAATATTTTAGTGCATGTAATATTACTCAGAAGTCAGAAAATGATCCAAGCAAGCTAGGATGCTTTAAGACATAGTATTTAGATGTCAGATTTCATTGTAAGTGTATGCAATTTCATTTTCCGACCCCAAACTGAAGTCAATAAATTCATCATATATTGACAAGCAACAAGATACGCATTCTTTCATGTAATCTAATCCATTATTCCTCCACCAAAAGCTATCAAAGACTTGACTTAAAGAAAGGGCTGTTTTTAATAGCTCTAATGTTTCTCCCTCTAGACATCTTTTTTATTTTTGTAGGAAAGTGTTATTTGTCTAGAATATATAAAGATATAAATGCAGGCTAACAAACTGTCAAGTTCAAAAGTTGCCCAGCTGGTAATCAGAAAAAAAAAAAAAAGCCAAAGCCAGGCTCCAAACACCACCATCCTTGGAAAACTCTCTTCAGGAGCAGCGAGCGATCCACCGTCAGAAAAACAAGTCACTATCACCAGATTCATGACCAGGAGGGGAGGAGCTGCCTGGAGAGAGATCTCTCATTAACGGTACAAGAGGCTTTAGCAAGAAACCAAGCCCCAGCACTGCTTGGTTGGAAGGAAGACCCCCAGATTTGGGGTCCAGCCCTCACAGCCATCAACAGAGAATAATTCAATATTAAGTGATCAGAGCACTAGCTTTGAAGCGAGTGCCCTTCCTGTAATGAGACCTTATCAGACAAATGCAGACTCTGACAAGTTAGGTGTAGCTACAAAATAAAGAAATAGGTTGACTGTTCTCAGAGCATCAAATAAATTCAATAGTTTATAATTCTTCGCCAAAAAACATTTAATGAAAGAGGAACGGATGGTACGGTAACATATATTTAAGTATAATTTAATCCTCTTAAATACAAATCATTTTAGCAACTGAGGTAGAACACTGATTATACTTTCCTGGGGAAATAGAAGCACTTCACCTAAATCACTAGTTCTTAAAGCAAAAATACGCATAAGGTTTCTCAAGCTTGTGAAGGATCATGCAATTCATTAAGTCTTTCAATAAATAAAAATTTTAAAAAAAAGCACTATTTCCAACACACAAAAAGAGAAGCAAAAAAAAAAAAAGGATCAGGTATGTACGTACTGTGAATTAGCAAAGAATTACTGGGGTATTACAGCCTTCATCGCCAGTCACCACATCCCAAAACCCACAGATGCTTATTCACAAGACTACTTCCATACGAAGTGCAAGCATTATTTCATATAAATCCTTTATCTAGAATAATTTCTTCACCACAGTAAAAATACATATACATAATCAGAAGGCTACTATTTAAAAAGAAAAAAGATGGACAATCTGGCAGTCCATGCATGAAACTACAGCCCTACTCCATTCAAACCTTAGTTAAGGAAGCATTAAATTCTAAGCAATTTTATTGGGAAAACTACATTTCACAAGCCAGGTGACAGTTTCAGTAATTTTTAGCGCTGATATTTTCCTTGCCTTCACTACACCACAGTCTTCCTATTCATAAAGCGGAAAAACAAACCCCTAACCAGCATCATGTGGGAGCCCCAATATTTGTAAAACATCCCGTGTTGGATTCACCTGACATCGCTACATGCTTACATCTGACCTCTTCACCCCAGGATTCCTAGAGGGCAATTCATCTCATCCTCAAGCAGAATTCTCAAATAAGCCAGATGAATTGTCCCCCAAAACATCTTTTTCTTTCTACTGACTACAGAGAGAGCCCAGCTCGGATATAGACACCTACACTATAGACATCTTTAATGAAAAAACAGGAAACCAACTTTCTATACTTCAGATGAAAGATGCTACATGCTGTTCATTCAAGTCTTGCTGCAAGGCCCGCTACTGCCACAGGACTTGTTTTTAATCAGTGTGTTGAGTTTTCGTGGGATTTTTTGTAAGTATCAAGGCAAAAGGCCCTTAGGGAATACTGATATCATTAATATTTCTGGAGCACTGACAAGAAGCCTTACTTGAACCTTACAGGTTTCACATAGTCGACAAACATAAATCACATGCTCCAATCTCTGCCATTGATTTTCACTCCTTCACTAGCTACGTCGTGTTCACTCTGCTGAAGTATTTTAAATTAGAGCACAGGCTGCCTGGCACGAAGCCTGTTTGATGCATTTGAACAGGCCTCAGTAATGAAATATAAAATGTTAAGAAAGCCATCATTTTGAGCCATCGATCTGTATAAACTTTATGCGACTTATTTCCACTATTCCATGATAGGAAAATAGCATATTATTCTTCTAATGTCTGCTTAAGTATATTTCAACAGAAGTTCACTATACTAAAATTCAGTGTTGATTAAGTATGCAAGAATTTTCACTTCAGAACTCAATACATATTTGGAACGGATATTTGCTTTTTCTGTTTAAAAAAAAAAAGTCTTTAACAACGGATAATACCTTAGAAAACCAAGTCTAATAAACAGTTGTGTTTTACATTTTAATGTCAGTCAGAAGAAAATAAAGACTAATATAACTCCTCTGAAAGCTTACAAACTACCTCCTTCTTCAAAAGGAGATGAGCAAAAAAGTTAACGTCAAAAAATCATCTCTACGAAATGGCAATGAGATCATTACAGTACTCTGAAAGGCACATTTGATTTTCTTCCTCTCATTAAAAAACAGAAAACATGGGCCTACCTGCACCAGATGCTGATCGGTGCTGAGACTGCGGTCTTCCACTGGGTGAAGAAGGTTCCTTCATACGATCAATGAGACTGTCAGATAGCTGAAAAATATAACCCCCAACCCAAAGAGTCAGACTACACCTCCTCCTTTATCCCCATTACCCCTCTCTTTCCCCAAAAAGTGAAGTAAAACTTGGAAAAAAGAGCACAGAGCCCCAAAATAAGATATGACAGCTGCTAAAATTTTATCAACAATGCAAAATAAACTTCGTATTTCCCCCTTTTTTGCGGGGTGAGCACTCAGCTCTGAGTGCAAACAATCAGGCTGAACAAGATTATTTTGGCTTTCACAGAACACAAGAAACCGATATGACAAAATATAGGATACAGGGAAAGATAAAGGAAACAACACCCTTTGACACGTTGCTTGCAATGAATCAGCCTTTTTGCCTTTCTCAGTTATTTGGACGACAGCCAAATACCATACTGTGCAGGTGCAGAGCACTTAACCCAGGAGGAACTTTATCCTGATAAAGCCCTCAAAATACTTGTGCAACACAAGTGGTCAGAGCAAGTATAGTCAACCACCAAGTTCATTCTAATGTTGACACATGCACACACAAAAATACTGTCACAAATTATGCAGAATCAAACTGAGAATAAGACTAATGACATCTCTCACGGGCAGAAATCTGCATTACAAAGATTTTTCTAAAATCTGTAATCTAATATGCAAGCGTAAAATTTCTTCAGCATAAGATTTCTTAACCCAATCCTTAAAACTCTCATCTTCCCACAGCTAGTTTTACCTATGTAAACCGTTACATATATCCCACTTTTGGATGCTCTATTGACTAACATTATTTATTTAATGAAGCTGTGTTTTCCTAGTACCCATGATATCATTCAGCTTTTTTTTCCCAGTATTTCAAGATCCAGGATTACTTTACAGAAACTCCAACAGCCCTTCCCAGTATTTAAGCGCGGTTCAGAGCCGACAAACTCTGCTGCGAACACTTACATTACTGTCACCTATTTGCCTGAGAGCATTAAATGACCAGAAAAATATTAGTATGCTGAATCAGGCAGCAGTTACTATCATGGTTCATTCTGCAACGCTCCTCCCTACAAACAGCAATAAAAGACAACTTATTATCCTTCCTGGTATGAACTACAGTGTCTTCCATTGAAAAACATCTAAGCTGCAAGATTTCTCAAAGTGTCTCCTGTCACAAACTATCTTCTGGTGTATTACATGCAACAGCATGCCATAAAGAGGGAAAGAATGGGAATGCTTCTGCAGGTACAGAGGAGGGCGGCTATACCCCATGTGAGAGAGCGGAACATGGGAAAAGGAGGAGCTCTGACATGTAGAGGTCAGGGAAAGACAAAACAAGCTCTTCTGGTTACACATCTCTCCTACAGCTGCTCTGCTGCCCGTCGTTGGAAACCAGGCCGGGGCAAGGCTCCTCCATGACACCTCCCTACGCACGGCGTGTTTCTTGCCACGACAGAGGCCTCCAGGCTGCACCTGAGCACCCGGGCTCTCCCCGCTCCCCTGAAAGCCCCAACCGCAAAAGCGGAGCGGGAAGGGGGTGGAGGTCACTGCGGGATGGAAGCGGAGGAGAGCGCCCGCGAAGCGTGAGGGGCCGGAGCTGCAGGGACGGGGACAGGGCCCGGCAGCGTAGAGGCAGAAAAAGGCGAGCGAGGGGCCGGGGCGGGCCGAGCTCGGGGCAGCCCGGGGCGAGCCAGGCCCCGGCGTCCCTGCGGGATCCGGCGAGAACCCCCGGCCCGGGGGAAGGAGCCCCGCTCTCACCCGCACGCCCTTCACCACCGTGATGTTCTCGTTCTCATCCGCCTCGAAGGTGACGCGCCGGGTGCTGCTCCCGCCGCCGCCCATCTTCGCCCGGCGCCACCAGGCCGCGGCCAGGGACGGCCCCAAGGAGACTCGCTGTCCCCGCTGCCAGCGCGCCCCGCAACAACGCCGCTCTTCATTGGCCCGCCCTTCGCCCCACCCCGCCCCCCCTTCACCACCGTGATGTTCTCGTTCTCATCCGCCTCGAAGGTGACGCGCCGGGTGCTGCTCCCGCCGCCGCCCATCTTCGCCCGGCGCCACCAGGCCGCGGCCAGGGACGGCCCCAAGGAGACTCGCTGTCCCCGCTGCCAGCGCGCCCCGCAACAACGCCGCTCTTCATTGGCCCGCCCTTCGCCCCACCCCGCCCCCCGCGCGTAGAACCCTGCTCCCTATTGGCTGGGGGGTCGTAGCCATGGAAACCCCCGCTGAAGAGCGGCGAGGTACCCGGAAAGGGTGCGGAAAACTTTTTCGGTTTAAACTTCATGGGGGCGCGGACTACAAGTCCCAGGATGCTTAGCGCCAGGAGGCGGGAGGGCGGGAGGGGTGAGCCGGCGCAGTGCCCGCTGGGTAGTGTAGTTCTCGCTCTCTGGCCGCGGGGCCGCGCTGAGCGGGAAGTGTCGTCCCACATGGCCCGCTGGGGTCTCCCGGGACACAGCCCCGCTCTGAGAGGACTTTCGGGATCCCCCCCCCCAGCTCTGCTTGTCCCGCTGCGGCTGGGGGTGCTCCTGCCCTCCCTCAGCCTCCCTCAGGGCAGCCCGGTGTGAGGTGGATGCCCCAGGCTTCTGCTGGAGCTCTAGCCTGAGCTGATCCTTCATCCCCTTTTCCACATCATAACGGCATAAAATTACCATTAGCGTAGCCCCTTTGGGCATGTAATTTGCTTTCCAAGAGATGAATAATGTTAATAACGCATCATACATTTTCTTTTCAGCCTACAATATAAACTGCATCTGGATCTGGCTGTTCTGCGAGTGAACTCCCCCCCCGCCCCGGAGGTCCCATGGCCTATCTTGATGGCCAGAATTCCAAAGGTGTGTGCTGGGAAGACGTCTGAAAGGAGAAAAACGTGTTCTTTAGTGTACAATACCAAAACAAGTATCGCATTCTGGGTGCCAATGGCGTCAGACACATCTCTGAATTTCTCTAGCCTAAGTATGAAGCAAGAAGTACCTTTACATAGCTGGGATATAGGAATATCCACTGTTTTGTCTCTCCTACCATCTGGCCTCTTCACTTGTTTTACCCAATGAAGCCTCAGTCTTCTGCTGTGACTTCTTGACATTGGCAACATACAAATAATAACAACTGTGATATTTGGGAAACTTTATCTTTTCTTTTCCCCCCTTCCAAGTCCTTCATCTGCTTGGCTCAAGGAAGGATAGCCTATTTGTACCGAAGCGACGCCGAAGCCTTCCACCTCCCTCCTGGAAATTTGTCCCAATGTGTTTACACAATGATCACAACAGGTTATTGCAGCCTGTGTCAACTGATGCATTTCATTTCTCTGAATCGATGCAAACATCACATTGGTTGCATCAACAGAACTGCTCACATGGCCTTGATATATTTTCAAGCAATTTTTATATGGATGTAAAGTGTCCATCAGCCAACATTTCATCAGTATCTGCCTTCCTTGGGGCTTAAGATATTGCTGAAGCATTGGCTGATAGCCACTTTACTACCAAATAAAAATTGCTTGAAAATATATCAAGGACATATGAGCTGTTCTCCTGAGGTATGTGACGTGATGCTTATGCCTGTTTTTATAGATGTTAAACCAGTTTCTATGAGGGGGCACTATTAAGAATTCAACATCCTGATATCTATGTTTTTAAGGGAATAAATGGACTGTGCATCTATCAGTCTTGATAGTCTGTGAGCACCAACAAACTAAGGGTACTGAATTTTCTTTTTTTCTGCACTGGGAATGTTTTTAGGTGGTCAGATTGTATTTATTCACTTAGTGACATAACTGTTGTGGAAATGCCCATCTCCAAATCAGAAGCAGCTCTTCTAATATATTTTTCCTCTTTTGGGAGAGTTCTGAGAAAATACTCTTGTCTTGCTGAACAGAAAGATTTATATTTAAGAATTAAGGTTTTAACAACAGCTATTTTCTGCCAGGGTTTTTTATGATTGTTTAGTATGACTTGAAATTACAGAACATCGTGACATATGCATAGATTTCAGGAGGGGGAAAAAGAACAAATGGGCAGAATTACATCTCAAAATTGCTTTGGGTCATTTTGATGTGTCTGTAAGGTTCACTCACTGTAGAAAGAGCAGGACTGAGGTACCCCAGAATTTATGGCTCCCCTATAATAGGTGGAAATGAAAGACTGTTTGCTGCAGGCCAGAGCCATCTATATGTCAGAAGCTTTTCTCTGTGGACTGTCAAACCTATTTGAGAGCTCTTTCAAGGACATTGCTAGATGGAAAAAGTATTAGAAATTAATGTTAGAAAAGGCCACAACAAATTTGCAGTCCAAAAATCATTCATTAACGACCGGCAAATAAACTCATGTCTAGTTCACAACTCTCACAAGCAATTTGCAAATAGAAACAGAAGGTGTTCTGTGTATAACTTCAAACAATTTATATGATCACATAAATAAATAACACGCTTATTTTAATAGTGTCTATCAATGTGGTACACAGAGTTGACCGCTGTGTCGCATAGAAGGCCCCAACCTAGTTTGAACTAACTAGTGCAGACAGCAGCAGTAATCAAAACATCAAAACAGAACTCAGCATAGAATAATTTGTTACCACTCCCTAGTGTTAATCAGTCTACAGGAGTTCGTGCAGCCAAGCCAGGCGCTTTGATGTGTCTGTTACCTCAAATACCTGCGTCCCGCTCCAGTCAGAGTAAACCTCTTCAAAGATACAGATGAAGTGACATGCCCAAGGTCATTCAGTGCCAAAGCAGCAGGACATGGGTCTTCTGTATCAATTCTCTTCAGTGGTTACTAGAGAGTGCATTTCTACCAAGAAAAAAGGTAACGTGAGAGCGGAATGACAAATAAAAATGTAGCAATCAATACAAACCTACTAACTGCTTCTGATTCTTGTTTGATCTGAACCCATTTCTGACTTGTGTAAGCAGAAAATCCATCTCACACTGGTAAAATTCGGGTATTTCATTGTGTCTCTGAAAAACAAGCAGTATCTTACTAGGTTAAAAACATTCACTTCTTGTGGTGCTGTGTGCTTTTCCACATATCCCGCGCGTTTTTATGGCCAGATTATAAATGCTTGATCCTCTGTTAAGAAGCAGTGCTGTTGTCCAATCTTGTTTGTCCTTGACTGGACGTATTCCTCTGTGGCAGAAATATTTCTTGTACCACTTAATACTCCAATTGTTCGCTCTAAAGTATAGCCAAAGAGTAGTGAAGGACAGCATTGCCAGACATTCACAAACAAATAAATCCTAATGAGCCCAGGAGCAAGTTACTATTAAATTTTAGACTCTTGTCTCAAGACTTACAAAATGCCATGAAAACACTTGATAGGTGAGGTGACATATAAAGGCTCATTGCACACCTGCTGTGAGTTTCTATTCTGCGGAGGATCATCTTGCTCGGTCACTGCCACAGCGAGCACGTTGTACTGTATGACTTTACCTGGTTATCCCTTGGTGGTCATCTGTTCCTTAGAAATGTTCAGCATGGAAGGACTTTGATAGTACCTAGGTTCCTCCTTATCAGCAATGACCATTATAGCAAAGTCTGCAAGTTCTCAAAATCTGGAAATTACTCTTTGCTGTTGGATGCAACAGCCCGCAGTGCCTTCTGCCATGAGATGAGATTTCATGAGTAAATAATGTATCTTCAGTACATTCCTGGCGTGCCAAATCCTGCTTCTGTTGGTGCTATTGGCACAAGTTTTCCGTACCTGTTATAACTGCAGGGCAAATTAAGCTAAGCCATCAAATTCCTCTAAATGAGCTTTTCAAACATATTTGAAAGCCTTGTTATAAAAAGGGCAGAAGACCTTCCCTTTCCATCCCAATTCAGCTCCTGCAGAGGCTGAAGGTTCATGGCTCATCTCAGAACCGATGCTTCAATCATTGCTTCACTTCTCACAGTCTGTGTTTATTCTCACTAGTTCAAGACGAGAGCGTGCTCAAAGTTTGCCACATGCTCAGTAGCACCTTAGCAGCAGCAGTTTCCAGTTGATATCATAGGGAGACTCATATCTGCATGGTTTCGTTTCCTGAGTCATCAAGGTTAACAACCTGATCAATGAGTCATAATGAATTATTCTGCTTTTTCGGGGGGGGGGGGAAGTGAGTTTAACTCATCCTATTCATTGTAGGAGTGAGGTTGGATTTCTAGTCGGTGTCAGAGACAGCTCCACGTGATGTGTGCTATCTGCAGACCACCACCGCTTCCTCCAGATCATCTTTAGAGTACCTGGGATACTTTATTAGTCTTTATTTTTCTGTTGGCTACTATGCACTGCGTATTGGATTATGACTACATATATCACCCCAGAGAGCCCTGCGCTTTCCACAGAGAGCCCCCTGGATTCCATGCCTTGAAGCACTAGCCACGGGAAGCTGTTGCAAAGCTGATTTAGTTAATGCGTATCACGCAGTTCAGGACCCTCAGATTTACCTACGGACTTCAAAGCACAATATATTAACATTATGTCATCTTAATATGTGATTATTTATGTTGATATACTTTTATCTGACTGGTGTGGATCACATCAGTAGCAAGGGAGCTGCAGAATTTGTAGCCAGCCTGACTGTCATCTCCAAGACCAGGTTTGATTCATGGTCTCATTTCCTGGTTTTCCTCCCACTGCTCACAGCCCTTTTTTTTTTTTTTTTCTTTCTCCACGGTCCATTTATTAAATGTAGAGTTAGAAACACAATTAGAATTTACTCAAGTCTATAATGTCTGAATACTAAATCTTTGGAAAAATAAAAATTCTTTCCCAAACCTGTCTCATCTGGGTTGGCTGTTCAGCTGATGAAGTCAGCCTTCTTTACTGATTGAATGACGAAAAAAGAAGCACCTGATTTCATCAATTCCAAGCAACGACTGCGTGAATAATTCTGAAATTCCCAAGCACTGCAGAA